TAAATCCCCAGCCCCCGCACTGACTTCTCATTACCTGGAGCAGTGCCCGAAACACAGGAGTTGTTTAATGAATGCTTGTTGAATGAATAAATAAAAGGGAAAGGGTATCAACATACCCACATATGTTCTGATACTAGTTCCACCAGATACCTATGCAAAGAGATAAAGGGTCTACCCATGGTGAAGCAGTCACATCCAAGGTTTCTCAGTGTGAAATTTCTATTTAGAGTTACAGTTGTGCATTGTACAACCTGATGTAAGATTTTTTTCCTGCCCAAATCATTTAGGTATATGCTTATCAATAGGACATACCCAGCGATACTAACAGATAAAACAGGAGTTGGTTTACATGCAAGAAAGAGCAGAGATCGCAAAATTTAAGAGAATGGAGTTGAGTTTTCAGCTGCTGCTGGGAAGCTGTGTGACCTTACATATGTTCCTCAGCCTCTCAGAGCGTCAGTTTTCTCACTGATAAAATACAGATGTAACATTTATCTCACTCAGTCATTTTGAAGATTGAGAAAGATGATACATATGAAACAGCTAGCACAACTTGCGAGGCTGAGGCAGGAGGATCACTGTGAGTTCGAGGCACGCCTGGGCTACAAAGTGGGTTCAAGGCCAGCCTGAGCTGCATAGTGAAATCCTGTCTCAAAAAGGCAAAACAAACAAACAAAACAACAAAAAAAAACCCCCGCTAGCATGTAATGGACAGTGGTATATTTTCAGGTAGAAGTTCTGTACTTGAAATGAAAATGCTGGCAAAGTCTGCCCAAACCAGTCCTTAAATTCAACTTTAAGCAGATCGTTGTACCTTGCCAAGTTTCTCTACAGAAAGTGTAGAGCACATCTTACTGCATCATATAGAACCTTACGCCTGGTGCGATTTTTCAGTGCCAGGGGTTCAAAGGGGGGGTCACTAAGACTCCCCAAAGAGCCTCAGTGCTACTGTCTTTCTTTTTTTTTTTTTTTTTTGAGACAGGGTCTCACTGTGCAGTTCAGGCTGGCCTTGAGCTCACTTTATAGCCCAGGCTGGTCTCGAAGTCGCAATGATTCTCCTGCCTCAGCCTCTCAAGTGCTGGGATTACAGGCGTTTGCCACCACGCCTGGCTTTTTTTTGTTTTGTTTTTTGTTTTTTTTTTTAGTGGTACTTTCTTACCTGAAGCCAGGTGTCCTTTTAAGACAGAAGCAACCGGGGGCCCTGAGTCCGAGTCTTCAGCGCCATGCTGCGGTGACTTCAGGGCTACCTGGGGGACTGAGACAAAGAATCAGGGGTCAGCATCTGGGGTTTGTGCTGGACCCAGGGAGACTTCTCTCTCCTGCCAAGAGCTGACCGAAGCCAGTGCTCTGCCTGCAAAGCAAAATCAAAGCAGGGGGCCTTCAAGTGCACGCCTTCCCCTTTCGTTTAGCTGGGTAAATCTCACGGAACGAGATGCTCCTAGGATGGATACCGCCACAAACTCCCCGTGCGTCACTCCTTCACCAGGCCAGACAACAGACACCAAGGCGCTTCATTCCATCGAGCTGGAGAACCCGGGTCGGTCTCCACCTGATTCCTTCCAGGAAGTGACTCGATCAGACTCCTTCCCCGGGGCCTCGGGACGGTCACATCTGGGCGTGCCATCGGCCTCTCGGGCCCCCGGAGCAGCTTGGTTTTGAGGAGTAGACGCTTTGGGTGGACAGGAACACAGGGGCGGAAGGGACGTCCTCAGCGACCCCTCTCCGCCCGGCTCCCGCTGTGAGGACCCTGGCTGCCCTGGCCACCGCCTGCTGCTGACAGCTCTGACTTGCACGGCCTGAGCAGACTTGGCTGTGAATTTGCCTTCAGTGTGGCCCCAGAGAGTCCCAAAGCGACACCGCCCACCCGCTGCCCTGATCTCTAAAAGCTTCTGCTGCCAGAGTGACTTCAAGGATGTGATTTGCCCAGAGACACTCCTGAGGGTGGGTCTAAGCTCTGCGACCCGAGAGGGACTCCAGCCCTGACTGTGCGGTCATTCTGAAGGTGCCCTTCAAATTCTTTGCAAAGCAAAGGGGCCAGGGAAGAATCCCTGATGGTCGCCGAGACATCCCCGGCCTAGATAACAAACTGCGGGGCCCCTGCGACTCTCTTGGAAGAATGGACCACACAGTTTCAGTGAAAAGGTTACCGTGGGTCTTTGGAAATTTTTGAAAAAGGCTACTTTTCTGTCAAAGGGCAATTGAGAATGATGCGTTTTAGAAGATGAAAGCACCAGAGAAGCCAGAACGCCTCTCTTGGTTTTCTCCCGGCTTCTCTCAGTGGGAGGAACGTGTTCCCCGTGAGCTGTGACAAGTCACAACTTCTCCTGTGGCTTCGCTGAGTTTCCTCTGCTCCCTGGCATGTGCCCCCTCTGACTCAGGGATCACGGCCCCGACGGCGGAGGGCCAGGGCTACTCACTGGAACCATCCTCTCACAGGCAGGGCAGGCAGCAGCCTGCATCTGCGCTCTCCCGGACACCGAAGACTAGCAATGCATAAAACCCCACACAGTTCTCAGCTTGGCCAACTCACAGAGGGGCAGCCGATGTTGCTCTATTATTTCTATTTTTACACTGACTAATTTTGTATTTGCAGTTTTATTTAAAAGTAGTAAACAACACGGTTGTTTCTTAATAGAGGTTAATGTCATTCTATTGTAGAAACTGCAGGTAGATATTTTCAATGAAACTTTATTCAATTATTAATTTGCCTCACATAAAAATAATTTTCATAGCTGATAGGGCTTTATTGGCCCTAATGGAGAATAATTGTAATCTCCCTTGAGAGTCTAGTTGTCATAATTTCAAATCAAGCAGATGCATTCATTGAAATTAAATTAAAGTCAAGTCCCGAAGGAGGTGATTGATCAGCAGAGTGTAACTTTAAAAAGACTCAGGTACCTGAAATAAGACAATTCATGAAGAAGACTGTAAGAGAAGACACCAAGTCTGTGACATTTTAAAGCACAGACTGACACGGACCCAGACACACCACATTCTGCATGGCACACTGCCACCCAGTGGCTAGGTCACTTCTTTCAAAGTTATACTTAACATTCCTCACTGTAAAAGCAAGAAGTTATCGCAAAGGCATTTGAACAGGAAAAATAAAAAGCAGATAAAAGATCCTAATTGCACCCCCTTAATTCACCAGCTATTAGCATTTTCAAGTATTTTAACACACAGAAGAAATCACAAACAGACACATACACACAAATTCCTCTACAGCAGAAAAGTGTTTCTATCAGCTCTAACCTGTTTTGCTCATCAGGGCGTTATATAATGTGGTAGAAAACCCCATAGAATTTTCACTACTCATTTAATATCCGTGGTGTTATTCTTTATGAGACAGTTCTGGCCCTGCCACTGAATGTTAAACTGGGCCTATTTCTCTCATAGGACATACTGAAGTATTCTCGGAGAACCGAGACCAAATCTAACTTGGGAAGAAATATTTTTATGGTTCGTACAGACTGACAGAGAACTTTAGAGTTAGCCTCTAACACTGTGTTTGAAGGAAATTTCGAGTGATTTTAACCAAGAAATGTTGTTTGCAGCCAGGTGTGATGGTGCAGACCTGTAATCCAGCACTCGGGGAGGTTGGTGCAGAAGGATCAGAAGTTCGAGCCTAGCCTGTGCAATTTAGTAACTTAGAGCAATCCCATCTCGAAAAAAAAGTGAAAAGGGCTGAGGATGTGGCTCAGTGTGAAGTCCCCGGGTTCACTCCCCGGGACACACACGAGCATGCACACATGCACGCACAGAAATGCAGTGCCTTCTTCTTGGACAAAACTTAAATTATAACATAACTGCGTTCTTTGGCTCACCAAACACCAGGCTAAGTTACTCAAACCCACTGATGCGGACCTGGTATTCCACTTGTTTCTTAGAAATGATGCCAAAGCTTGTCCATAAGCTCTCCGCGTCTCCCACGGGGCGGAGTGCGTTTTGCTGTTTTTGAAGTGCGCGTTTAATGAGCACCAATTACGCACGTGTCGCACACCAGGCTTTGCACGCCTTCTCTCTTTTCAGGCCCCGCCCCCTTAGGAAGACAATTCTCTTGTCCTCAATGGGTGGATGAGGAAGCAAAGTCTTAGAGAGGGTAACGTGCTTGCCCAGCACCCCCAGGAAGCAGCTGCAGAGTGGAAACTCCCGGCCAGCTCTGTGCTGCCACTGTCCTGGCAGTTAGCAGCTTCCTTTGGGGCGGGCGGCCGGGTCTGCTCCCACTAGACCCACACTGCTCTGCCAGGCCTGTCACAGTGCTGTGGAGCTGCTGGCCCTGCAGGGTGGGCTCCCCCAGGGGGCCCAGACCCAGCTGAGCCATCACACCAACCCTTTCATCTTCTTCCTAACACCAGCTGCAGTATTCCCTTGATTGTACAAGCACTATGTGCTAATTATAGTGTGCTTGGAAAGTATAGAAATGTATGAAGACACACACATACAGTGGTTTGTTTGCTCACAAACTAGGAGTGATTATTTTCATGTTTGTTGCATCTCTTGTGTACATCTGTACTCTGTGGAGACCATATTCTTTTTTTATTTTAAAAATTAAGAAACTGACAAAACAATAATGAAGACAAAATCAAAACAACACAAAAACAACAAAAATGGAACATGACCTCAAGACAAAATGATAGAAATGTACAATGGTTGCTACATTGCATACTGTTACCTTCAACAAATTGCTCAGTCCGAGACCATATTCTTTAATATGGTGTTTCTGCCTTTTTCCATTCAGTGTTTTATAATAGACATTTCACTATTTCATTGAAAATTATTCAAAACACCAACTCATGGCTACCTAATATTTCACCACATTTAGACTGTTTTGCCCAGTGATTTGCCCATGGGGAACCCACGTAGCTTGGGAGTTTCAAGACCACTGTGGACACGGGTGAAGATCAGTGTAAGCCCAGGCTCTACTCCTGGGAGTCGTACAGCTCTGGGCAGGCTGCTGATCCTTTCTGTGACTCAGTTTCTTCATCTGTAAAACTGGACTATGACAGGGCTTCCCTCAAGCTTTGATGAGACAGTTCATACCAAGCACTCAGCACCATTTTTACATAAATTAAAACCTTAATAAGTATTGATTATTGCTACTGTTGGGCTTATATTGGTTCCAGTTTTTACTATGAAAATTAGCTTTTGAGTAAGTATCACTGTGCATAAATTTCCTTTCCTTGTCTGTTGATCTCCACATCTCTGACTATTCCAAAGGCAAGATTTCTATAAGCGCAGTCACTGGGCCAAAGAGTCAACACCGGTAAGGTTTCTTGATTTACTCCCGTCCTGGCTGAGCTTTGTGTCACAGCTGCGCCCACCATAGCCTGCATCCTGCAGCTGAGATGTGGCTCTTTCTGGACTTTTCTTTCAGAAGGTTCTAGATATTCAAGGAAGAGGTATGTCTCAGTTACTTTTCTCTCACTGCTGAGACAAAATACCTGACGCCCCAAATTAAGGAAGGAAAGGTTTATTTAGCTCACAGTTTGTGGAGGTTTCAGTCTGTACTCGGCTGGCTCCAAGGCAAGGTGGCACATGGCAGAGGGCAAACAGTTCATGGTGGAAGATAGCAAGAGCAACAAGAGCAAAAGGGAGGAGTAGCAGGCAGCAAGCAGCCTCTTCCTCTCCCTTACACATGCAAACTATCTGCTCCAGGGGGCGTGTAGCACTCACACCCATAATCCCAGCATTGGACTATGTATGGATCAAACATAAATCTAGAAGCCCACCCCATGACTGCATGAGGATTCGAGGGGACATCTAGACACAAACCATGACAAAGAGTCCTACCTGCCTGGCAAGCGTAAGGTCCTGAGTTTGATTCCCGGTACCAAAAAAAACAAAACAAAACAAAACAAAACAAGGAGCCCTATTAAAAGAGACAAAAGGTGTGTTTTTCAAATTATTGGAGTTCCTCATCCTGTTTTTATTTTTTTTTTTAATGCAAGCATCTCCTTTTGGTTTTTCTCTTCATAATCTCTTTTAACAATTCAGCTCCACGGCAATAGTTAAGTGCTACCTCCCAAGGACAGGCCAGCAGAGCCCTGCGGAGGAATTGAGCTGCAGTAGAACAAAGGCAAAGGTTCGACCCCAGCCCACATCTAACAGCAAAACAAAGACACGGCCCCTCACAGCCCCACGGGTGCAGACCCACTGAAGGAGCAGCACACTGGCCACCACACCTTGAAAAACAAGTCCAGTGCTGAACTGTGTGGTGGATCAGTGGACTATGTCATCCATGTGAGCAAAGACAGC